GTCACGTGCAATTATAACGAGAGACGTACTGAAGAATATCGTATTTCTGCGTGGAACCTCTAGATTTAGAGTTAACACAACTAAAACTTTGTCTTTTTTTGACAGAATCAAAGTACCAAACTAAAAAATATTCTCTGTGAGATCCACTTCGACCAATTTCATTCTAAAAATAATGAAAAAGTAATGGTTAGTAGCCAAGCGGAGTCCCTCATGCCACATTTAGAATCTATGTCATTCGTGTCAGAATTCACATCGATATCTTTCGATTCATAACAACATTATTTCCTCTCTCTTGGTCAGATCTCGTTCGAAAAATATATGTCATCTCTGCACTCGTTTTTGTGCTTTTTTTCTGACTGCCTACCCTATTCGCTGCGGGAATGATCTTTGCGTGGCAATTTCTGAATCGACTCTTTTGTGTGCAACGCCTGCAACGACCCGACGCGCATCAGCGCATACTTCGACATTAATATATGAGGAGGAGTGGATGCTCGACGGGGCGCGCTCGTCTTTTTACGCCGCCAGCCGCCGCCGTCCTTCACGGTCGCCTTTATCCTGGTTGAGCGCGTTCAATAATAACGATCGTTATATTCCTATATATACGGAATCCGTCTCTCTCATGCGCGCAACTCTCCGGAAAATGGTTCAGGATATCAGCGCGTTCTCTTTCTGGACATGGATATACAAGGTGTTGCATTTGTTTAGTTTTAATTATATTTATGGGAACTAGAGAGTTTATTAATGCTTAGTATATAAACGGATTAATTTGATTACTTGAGTTTTAATTTATTGCGATTGGGTGTGATTTGAGGTGAGTGCGATTTGATTAAAATCCTTTGCTTGATGGACAGTTATCACTGAACAAATCTGTGATCGGTGGTGCTGCGTGGATACTGCTGTGGCCGGCGTGATGATTATCGGGCATCCATCGGTCCGACCGAATGCTTTAATCGAGATCCTCATCATAATCGATGGTAATTGAATCAGACCTGGCCAGAGTGATACCCTGGAGAATTATCGTCCACTCGAGTAGCAACGATAGGCAGCAAAGATTGAAATTTCCCATTTACACAACGCTTCACGGTCTTATCAAATCCAAAAATTTAAAAATTTTAATTTTCTTTAGCAAGATAACACATAAAATACAAGTTAATGAAGTAAAAGTGTTTTACAGATAAGATTAAGCTCGTCTTAAAGAATCTCCTTGCACATGCTAATCCGTAGTTAACGCGACAACGTAAAATTAATTAAAAGCGTTTGCTATCAGCGTGTATCGTCGTAAAATTGCGGAAATGCGCGCGCGCGCGCGCGTACAATGAGCGTTATTCTCATTACGCTTTACGATTCGCCAATAAATATAGAGAATGGGATAGTGATGACGGTGTTCGTGTCAGTCCTGTCAAAAGGACAAGCCCAACGAGCCCGAAAACAGGCGTCCAATTCAAATATGGCGCTGTGCGCTTGTTTTCGCTGCTCAAGATACACATCAACACATGAACACATCCAATTCTCGCCTCGACTGTCAGCGGCTCATCATCAAGTCTAGATACTTGTTTGGTCGTACATCACATTCCCGTCTTGTTTTGTCTATGCCCGATTGTCCTTCCACGAGACGCTATCATTGACGCGTTTATCACGCCATGCTCCGAATGGTCCAAAGTTGAGTGCATGCTCAAGGACAAAGCGTTAAAGGACACAATGGACAAGAACACAAGGACTAGAGGAATGCAGAACTACACAGAAATTGACATTGTATCGGCACATGGGGCAATATCGAGCGATAGATGGTATTGTGTGATATTGTATGATGTGTATCTGGGTAGTTAATTTATTTTTTGTTGCATATCAAACAAAACAATCACAATAAACTTGATTTTGGCATTTTGTTGATTATATTTGATGAGTTAATTAATACAACGGCAAGTTTTGATTAAAATTTATTATTATTTATTTATATCTGAAAATCTGGTATTGAGTTTTGTATTATTATTATGAGGCAGGTATTGTTGTTTTTATTAATCTCAACAGAACAATTTGTGTTAATTAATGATGTTGCTGGACTAAACTAATTTACCTACATGTCATAACATAGATTTTCATAGTGCGGATAGAACCTATAATACATTGTACACAAATCATAAATATAGAGTGCAATCATACGCTAAGCGCTAATCAATTAAGCAATTAATTCGCAAAATAAATGAACACCCGGCGCTTCTTGCTATTTGCCGCCCCGCCGCAGTAACCAGCTCGAAAGCTCGCTCGCTCTGTGTACTTCAATGCTCTTTGTGCACGCCCGCGCTGTTTCGCAGCTAATTATTAACGAACGAATATGTACAATTTCACAATGCACCCGCTGCCGTTCAGCGGGCGCGCAAAGCAAACTTTCATAGAAATGTGAATCGTACATCGAGATTCATCAATGGCGTGACTACAATGATTCTTGTAACGCGTGGGTAAGGCTGTCAACGCTCATGAATAACGAAGTTCCGCTGGGAATAATTTGACTACATGCAATGCAAATAATTCGCCATTAATTGGCCAAAGTAATCAAGAGTAATCATCGCATTGATATACCAGTACGTATGAAATGCATGTTGATTACGAAAATGTAATTTGGGTACAGTTGAAGTTCTAGATTTACTAATATTCTTGCAAAAATTGTTGCTGGTGTTTTGTACACCACGTGATAGTGGAATTATCATCAAAACATTAAACATTATGCACGACAAATACGCAGTACGTCAACGCTGGGGGCTGTATGGACACAACAGACATTACATTCGACCGAGAGTCATTTGAGCTTTAGTGGCAAATGGTGAATTCGCTCGGATGCGAAAATGTTTCCCCTGTGTGGGCTGTGTGGCGGTGGCGGCGGCGTCACGGATGAGACGACGATGGCGGTGTGTGCGCCACACATCTTCCACGTTCCACGCGATGCTATCGCGCCGTGGCAAATGGTTTCATTAAATCATAATTATTGCTGTACGTCTAGACATTAATCGGACGCTTTTAGTCAGAAGTGCGCCCTTTCGCTAAGTTATATGCGTGATATGGCCCGTTTGAGATGTAATGGCGACGCACAAACGTGTAAACAATTGCGAAAAGTACAGGAAAAGAACAAATTGCAACGTTTTACATTCTGTCTCAAGTTGACACTTTTATAAACGCATTTGGTTCAACTTGAAACATGTCTGCTAATGGGACAACTATTATAGTTACAAATGATAACTCAGAAGTGAACAATAAGGTGTATTAAATATAAATATTTCTTATTTATCGATGGTGAATAAATAATTTTATTTGAATACTGCTATAGCCCTCTACCAGAATAAAGTTGTACCTTTATATAGTTCATGATTTCACTCACAGATGGCGGACCATTCTGTAATTTTGATTAATTTTTGGGACAACTTTATTTAAATTATTTTTAGTCGTACAAATACTGTTAATTTAAAACGTAGATTTTTAAAACAACTAATTTAATTAGAGATTGTATATTTACATTTAATTATCACGTTTATTCAATAATCTGGTATTAATGGTAACCTTGTCACTTTTGAGATGGCACTACATGGCACACGTTTGTTTACATATTTTGCTGAGAAATTAAATTAATAGGATAATTTTTAGTAAAATGTAACTATTGCAATTAATTATTAATCATAATTAATTAATGTTTGCATAAATTATACCTATATTAGCAAATTTCGTGCAAAAAGTTGCATCTTTGTCCCGAAATGGAATGCGCGCGCAGCCAAACCTGTAAACCGGTACTTTCAAAAACCCGTTTCCAACGATTCGCGCCGTTACATTGACCATTGTTGATTACTTCACATTATTTCGCTTCATTGGTCGTGTGTGTGCGGCCTGTGTTGCCTCCAGTCGGCTGCATCTGTCCCTCATCTGCTCTTCAGCACTCTTCGCTCACTCCATTCGTGCGTGAATTCGCCTTGGCGAAGGAAGAAAGAACCGCGTGGCAATCGCCAGCTCTAACCGCCACCATCATTCCGAAAGCATGGCGAGTGAGAAACGCACTCATTCCGAACAACTCAAACAACTATTGCACGAATTTCCGCACGAAATCGTCAGTCCTGTAAGCTGCAGGTAAGCTGCAAAAGTTAATCACAACATATTATAACCATTCAATTTTTCCTCAATGACCTTATCTGTGCTTGTACTGTGCAACAATGTCAATGCCCTGTTGCTTCATTTGCTCCATCTGAATGTTTGTTATTATATTACTACACTCATTTGAGCTGAGAATTTCGATTGGCATAACGGTGCTTTTCCGATGGTGCACGCGCAATTAACAAACAAAATTCGCTTATTCGATGAATTAATTTGTGCAGGCCTCGAAAGAAGATGTGGGTGTTTAGGACGTGGTCTGTGGCAAGTATGTTATTTAATTCATATTGCACCAGTCCCGGCCTAATCAACCTCATTGCATTCAACTCGATGGATTTTTATTGTCATGCATGCATTTTTACATTATGATAATAAACAGGAAATTAAAACAAACCCACACGTTTCTACTGTGAACAATCAAATGTATTGTGATTTACTTCCTCATGCTTTGTTCATGTTTACAGTGAGACTGATGCCGCCAAAGTACAAGCACTATCAAAATATGTGTATCCGGTATTGAAAACTGGAATTGAGCACACACTTCGGCAAATCTTGGAAAAAGATGCTCATTTTGTCGCGTTTGGAGAAGCACTTGACGAATTAGAATCTTTGAAACAGACTGGCCAAAAGAGGACAAAGTAAGTGATTACTTCTTGATTAGTACAACACAGCGGTTAAGAATTTAACTAAGAATTCTATTTTATCTGTTTTTTTAGTACTCAAGATGTGGAACCAGGAAAGATTGATTTTGATGATTACAAAATTATAGCTCTGCATAAACAAATTCGTAAAATGCAGAAGAAAATTCAAGCCAACAACACAAAAATCAACAATCTGATGAATCAGGTTGAAAGGAAGCGAGAACGCGTTAACAACGTCCACACAAATTTAATGCAATTGTAAACAATTATGATTGTAGTAAGTTACTGTTGATAAACGCCAAATATTCATCTCTAGCTTCTTGTTCTTTTCTGCATTTCATCATCCATTCTTCATTTTGTTGCTGCAATTCTTCTATTTTCTGGCTGGCAATGCTAATTTGCCTATTTACATCTTCAACATAGGCTTTAATACATGATTGTTCCAAAATCACAGCATTTATTTTGTTTCTTATTTCAGGGAGTGATTCATGCTGAGCATCTTCATCTTTAACCTGCAGGAGGGCTTCCAGTTTGAGTAATTCCAGCTCAAGTTTACAATTTTTCTGATGTAACGCCTATGAAATGTGATATATTAATTAGTTTATATTTTTTAATATTATGATCTTACATTGATTTCATTTATATGCATTTGTGCATTGTCACTGTACTCCCTAAGTTTGTATTGATTGATGTGATATTCTCCTGTATGCTGGTGATAAGCAACGAAGGTTTCCGCATTTTGTTGCTCAGCTATGACGAGTTTCGATTTCAAAGCTTCGTTCTGTCCTCTTAGTTTATTTAGCGCGCTATTCATGATTTGAACTTGGTTGGAACGTATCTGTTAAATTGAAGGTTGTGACAATAGGAAATGAATGCTTCTAGAATACCGTAGATGGCGCCACGTATTCTAGTTCTTGAAGAAATCGACGAATTCTTTGTTTAAATATTAGATTTTATGTTTGGCAAACTTTAATTGTTTAATTCAATATGAATGAAATTAAATTGTTGCATATATTTATAGCGTTAAAAACGTTGGGACCAGTTGTAATCTAAAATTATTTATTCTTCTCTAGGTGAGCTCAACAGATGTCGCTGCATGTATCATTTACGCTTCTACGGTTGGTAGTAAAGAGACGCCGAATCGGCGCAGAAGCAAGACGCGCGCGAACCGCTATGTGGTGTGCGTGCAGAGGGCATTTATTATTCAGCTGTTTGTGGAGCAGAGCATCGCTGGCGCCATTGCTTCCGTTCGGCGTTAAATTCCCAGAGTGATAGAAAAAGAGTTTGCAAATTGTGTGCGTCGCCAACGTCGGTCTACTACGAGACGAGCGGCTCGATTAAGGTTAGTATATTCTAATAGTTGCAATTACGCCGCACGCCGCGATTACATACGCCGAGCAGTCGGCGAAATATCGATAAAAACATGCGTGCTAGCGCTAGGGGCTGCCGTCGTTGTGCCGGCTGAACGACCTTTTATCATCATGGATGGCATGCCATGTCGTGAGGTTGGACGCTTCGCGGGCATCGATGCCGCGCCGCCGGTTTCTGAAATTATTGTCGACGCACGCCGACACTGCCCGCGCGCTTGCTATTAAAACGAAATCAAGTAATAACACAACAGTTGATGTTGATAAAATATTATGATCATAGATAAACGCGATGTTGGGTTTGCGCACCGCACGGCACGATGGCTGTGTGTACATGCGTGAATGTGTATGCGTGCTAGTTGGATAGAATAGATCGTGTTTTGTTTGTTTCGGGTTAGGAAACATTTCACACTTATCTCTTTGTTTTCACGTGGCTTTGCAACATTGCGACGTTTTATTTTGGGCGTTTTTTGATTTGGTTTATAATAAATTTACGTGAATCTTGGATTTATTCTTTGCTTACATCTAGAGCGAAAATGATATTTCCGTATTTTGATTTCGCAATACTACATAACTTTTGTGATTTATAGGAAGCGGATTGAAATGTGCAATTTAAATAATTTTATGTTTCTTTGATGGTAACAGGATACGAAAGACATTATTACCTCCATAGTTTATTTTTATTTTAACAAAGACTTGTCAAAAATAGATATTTATTAACATGTTTTTATCACAAGGTTTTCCCTGCTGACAAGTTGCCGCTGAAATTCCATATCAATCTAGTTAGCAGTTATTATCGCCCGGTGACATCGCGCTGTTCCAAAAAAAGATCGTTAATTAAAAACCCATAAATCCAACCGAAACTACTATTATACTAGTATTGGTAATTGAAAACCGCACCGAACGTGAAAACCGAATTAACACGCGCTCGGGCATATTAAAAAATAGTTTCCAAATTCTCTTTGCCTAGCGTCCTGTCGAATATTTCTAATTGCTCTCTGCACATAGCCCCATATCCAAATGGAGTATACCTGAAAAATACACGTAACGAGGCACAGGCAAATGTTTGCAGTGTAATAAACAAACAAACTAAAACAAACAAAATTTCTTCAAAGTCTTCTGACGTCGCCGATAACGTCAAATGCTAAAGACACACTAACGCCATGAACTAAATAAATAATATATTGACTCTATTTTGGTATTTTAGTAGGAAGTAAGTGTAATTTGTAGTGTGGAAATCAATTTAGGACATTTTTGAAATAAAACTTTGAAGCATCATGATTTACTTGTCCGCTTTAATGAAATGTATTATGCGGTAGTAATTGAATTTAACAACTTGCAATTTAAACTAATGCACGGCATTAGTCACAAGTTAATAATTCATGCGCACATTGAACGTAATCATACGTACGTGGAAGATAATTATCTAGTGCATTTCTGCTATCGTGACTTATTTATTTTACGTGTGTATAATTAGCTTGTGTATATCGCAAATGTTGCTTTACTTTGTAGTTACAGTTCCAATATTGAATATGTGTGTTAGGTGAAGTGGTCGATGTATCGATTTTTATTTGCCCCTTGTTTTGTTTGTAATGTTGGTGGTTGTAGCTGTCGATGGAAAAGTGTCAAGCGTGTCAACATTTGTACAATTTTCAATAACAAGTTATTACTTTGAACACATGGAAATTAATTATTTTCATTGAAATTTTATTCCGTAGTAATTAATTAGATTTTTCTTTCAATACTATAGGCTGTTGGTAAATATAAACATTATTTTTGTGTTTGGTCTTTTTATAAACATGGCATGTTTATATCGGTTTGAAGAAGACACACACGCGCGGTTGGTTGCCAGGCAACGCAAATGTCTGACCATACAAATACGATACAAAATGCATTATCCCATTATCCATCAATGTTTCAATATAATCGTTACATCGAAACTAATCTATGCATCATTAATGTGCCGTGCGCGCTTTCCTGTGTGCTTACGTTGTTATCCTGCGGGGTGAAGGAGGGAAGGTATATGTCCATCGGCGTGCCGCAAAAGGGCAGAGGCAGGCAAAATTCTTTCCTAACGCGTTCATTTCCTATTCCTTGGTTTATTGCTTCCTACATGACTGCTATTATCTTTTTTACTTTCGTTTTTATTTTCACACTAGTTAAAATTATTAGTTTTACTACTACGCATTTTGCTGCAAGGGAAAGAAATAGGATTTAACGATAATTTAATTTCCATAACTTTTCTAGATTTTCTTTGGAACATTCAAAATCACAAAAAAATACGATTACTATTACGACTTTGATAAAAGTTATTATGTCATTGAAAATGACACAATTTTGTAAGACAACTCTCAATTTCTATAGGTTTATTTGTTCATCCGAGTGTTCAATGTTTGCAACTCTAAACCACAAACAACAACACCAATAGCATAGAAAATTTGACACACTTTAATGAAAGGCCGACTTCTTCGCAAACTATAACAACAACAACGAATCTATATTAATTTAAGTGTAACAGTGTGTAGGATGTAGTATGAACAAACACGTATATTTAAGTATTGTTGAAAACGTCATAAAAACGTACAATGAACAGTAAACAACATCAATTCACTTCACACACGTGATCAACATGGGATGAGATAAGACACACAATGATATATGTGCTACGGCATGGTAATTAGGGTTAATAGCACCGAGAATAGAAAAAATATACGAGGCAATTAACATCACGAAATGGCAAATTACTCGGAAGCATTTTCTCTTTGACTTTATGGTTGATTGCTATCATATGTTTATATATTTAAAGTATTGCAAAATGTTGAGATACTTTCTATAGTCGTTATTCCCTTTTGTATTTCCCGGATGAAATTAGTTCTGGATTTGTTTATGAAAAGATTGCATTGATAATCGTTTTGTGCTGAAACATTAGAAACCTAGTGGTTGTTTTAGCTAATAGAGGCGCAACTGTAACGCGTCTTAAGTGCGCAGTTTTTGCTTCTTTCCTTTTAGGTTGCTTCTGTTGATAGTTGCGAGCAGTTATTGTCTGTTTTGTAGCTGAAAGGATTTACGAGCTGCGCGTTCTTACAAGATTTCACTTATGATAATTAAAATGATTCTCGTAACTTCCAAACATGTTTCGAAAATGACTTTGGTAGTGAAAAATGTGGAAGCACGCTAAAACTTTGTATTTATGTCAGTAAGTTTTAAAACGGAATTCATTATCCAGCTAAATATATTGACGATGAAAAGGTTTATTCGTTAGTTAAAACTAAACATTAAAATATACTTTAAATCATGTTGCTGTCGCTTTAATCACGTTTCATATTAATAATAATTTTTTCATTCGTCCGCCCATATCAAAAAACATACCGTGCGCACTGGTTGCATTACTCTGTTGCTCTCTACTGTTGACTGAGCTGATCGTGGTGAAATTGTGCTCCCGTTTTTATCTACCCACTGCGGACAAATCCTACATGCGAGAATTGTAGTTATCGATCGCATGTGGCTGTTGTGTTGTTGCTGAACCATGTGTTCGGATATGAGATTTAAATTTTGAGCACTGCGAATGATATTGTAACGAGTGCTAAATGCTTTTGTAAATATTTTTTACTCTACCGTATGTATGGTACGCAGGTACTAAAAGGTTAAGTACGTGTTAGTCATACAGGCTGAGTCAATATATTGTTCGATTCTGGCTAAAAGTATCTATTTGTGCAAATGGAAAGCATAAAATAAACATGTTTAAAGTTTGTGGCCTGCCTTTTCTTTTTCATTTTCTGTTTCTTATGCGTATTTCTTTGTTATTTTGTAGTCTCTTTGTGTTACATTTTTGAAGACACAGAAAGAGCCTGTCGATACCATGTAGCACGTGTTTTCAGGTTACGATATCTATATTGTCGCGCGCTGAACGGACAATCGTCGATTAATTATTTATCATCGTATAGCTTTGTCCGCTTCAAAAAGTGCTCCCAACGCTTTGCAACTACATAACTGCGATTGGCGTGTGCGTGTGAATAATTGAACGCGATATCGAATTTATGTGTGTTCAATATTTATTTAAATTGCATAAGAGGCGCAACTTATTTAAGCGCATACAAAATGTATAAATACTTCGTCCCAATATAAAGGGCGATAAAGAAATGGTGCGGATATAATAACATTTAATTTTATGCCAAGTATAAAGTCGGCGTATTTGTCACCTTGTATTGCACATTCAACTGAGCCTACTACTCTCGTTGAGTTTATTCGAGTTGTAGTATCGCTTTTATGGAATGACATCCAAGAACAGGTTACACAAGTCGCACAATGTGCGATGGTTTATCGCGCGTACGCTTTTAAAACGGTTTTATTAATCGGAAATGAAGATTTATGTCTGCGCTGTGAGCTTTTCACACGTAGGCAGTTGTGCAATGAGATGCAGTTTATAAAAACTTCAAGTACAGCACTTGTATTTCCGCATTGTAAATTTCTGCATTTGTTTGTTTT